CACTGTAGCAGGATGGTCCTATGATATTTTTTTATTTTCTCTTGTTTTCATTCATTACCTATTTTTAAAAAAATACATTTACTTGAGAGTATAGCAGTAATTGATATGACATTAGCAGCAGTATGCTTTCAGAAGACCAGAATGACAGGGATTCCAAGTATCGTCCTAGTATTACACATTGCTATCTTCAGTGCAGTTACTTAGTTCACAGGTATCAGCATATATAGTTAGTCAAGGGTGAGAATCCTACCAAGTAACTGCTAATTTCAAAAACCTGAAGGAGATTCTCAGGATCATCACCTTAGCCATCTTGTGTATATAAATGTATGGTTTTGCCCCTGCCATGTTTCCTAGCTTTTCTCCTGGGCCTCTTTTGTTGTTTAATCCTTTAATTCCTGCTTCCCATTTAGTTGTGTTATACCTTTCAATTTTTATTTCTTCTTTTGAGTTCTTACACTAGGGAGATGATACAATATTTACACATGTGGGTCTGGGTTATTTCACTTATGAGTATATCTTCCAGTGACATCCACTGGATGTGTGATAGGGATTGCATTAAATCTGTATAACAATTTTGAGAGTATGGCCATCTTCACAATGTTGGTTCTTCCTATTGAGGAGCAGGGAATATCTTTCTATTCTGTGAAATCCTCTAGGATCTCTTTTTTCAGAACACTGTAATTTTCAATGAATAGATCTTTCACTTCTTTAGACAGGGTAATTTCTAAGTATTTCATTTTCCGCAGTACTATTGTAAAAGGTAGTTTCTCTGATTTCCCTCTTAGTGTTCGATATCTGTGTAGAGGAATGCTACTGATTGTTGGGTACTGACTTTGTATCCTGCTATGCAACTGAAGGCTTCGAGTTTATCATTTTTTTATGGCTGAGTAATACTCCATTGTATAAAAATATCACATCTTTTTCATTCATCCTTCAGGTGACGGGCATTTTGGTTGCTTCTAAGATTTAGCCATCAAATTGTGATGCTATAAACATAGGTGCACCTATATCACTATGATATGATGTTTTCAGTTCTTTTGGGAAACTTCTCAGTAGAGGGATAGCTGGTCTGAATGGGATTTCTAGTCCTAGTTTTTTAAGGAGTCTCCACACTTATTTCCATAATGGTTACACCAGTCTACATTCTCACCAGCAGTGAAGAAGGGTTCCTTTTTGCCCACAGCCTCTCCAACATTTGTTGTTGGTTGATTTCTTTATGTTAGCCATTCTTTCTGGGGGGAGATGGTATCTCAGTATTGTTTTAATTTGCATTTCATGGATGGCTAGTTATATGGAACAGTTTTTTCATGTATTTATTAGCTTCTAGCATTTCTTCCTCTAATAATGGGGGTGTTCATCTTGGATGCCCATTTCTGGATTGGGTCGTTAAAGTTTATGGTGCTTTGCCTGTCAAGCACAAGGGCCAGAGTTCAATCCCTGGTTCCACAAAAAAAAAAAAAAAAAAAAAAAAAAAGTGGGGCCCAAATGTTGTTTTTGTCAGAACTGGGGATTAAAGTTAGGCCCCTGTGCTTGCCAGGCAAAGGATTATTCTACTGAGCAATATCCCCAGCCCTCCTAATGTTTTTAAGTTTTTTATAAATTCTAAAGAGCAGACCTTTGCCTGAGTGCTTATTAGTTAAAGAGTTTTTCCACTTTGTGGGCTCTTTTTACTATGTTGGTAATTTCTTTTGATGAGCAAAAACTTCACAATAAGAGGAGGTTCCAGTCATTAATTCTTTCAAATACTACCCATGAAATTTGATTTTTGTTCATGAACTCTTTGCCTACCCCTATGTCTTCAAGAGTTCCTCCTACTTTCTTTTCCAGGATATCTAACATTTCTGTTTTAATGTTTTTTTGACTTTAGTTTAGTGCATGGTGATAGACCTTCATCAAGTTTTAGTTTTCGGCACATAGAGAGCCAGTTTTTCCAGCACCATTTGTTAAAGAGGTTATCTTTCTTTCAGTAAGCATGTTTGGTCCCTTTGTCAAAGGTGGCTAAGTGTGT